AAATTATTTTAAGTTTCTGGATTTTTATAAAACTCCAAAAAAATTGGTAAATTTTATACATTATTTTTTTTTCTCCTTTAAATTTAGAACGTGAGGGAATTTATTTATAAAATTTTGAGTATAAATATTCTTTTTTTTTTTTATTTATAATGTTTTGAACATGAGAAAAATTTTATTTTATTTATTTTTTATTTATTTTATATATTAAAGTAAAGTTTTGTAAAGTTTTGAACATGAATAATAATTTTTTTTCTATCTAAATGCTGTTTCAAACATGAGAATTTCTAATTTTTTTCTCCTCTATTCCTTCAAGAATTTCGAATTTAGGACCTAAATATATTTATAAATTTCTTTTTTCTGTTGAATTTTAGGGATATATATATGCAATTTTTCTTCTTATATTTTTGAATATAAGCTTTGAAGCAAGCATTTGAAATTTATAAATTTTTAAATAAGAACCCCCATATTTTTTTTATAGAACATGTGTATATATATATATTTCTTTTATGTTTGTATAAAGTATTGAACTTATACATTTCGTTTTTTTGCTTGTAAAAATGTGAAATTTAGACAAAGTTTTATACATTTATACAATTTTTTAAGGTTTAAAATATTTCTTTACAGTTTAAATTTATTTTTTATTATTATTGTATATGCCAAGACGAAGAGAAGTATTTTTTATATTTTTTATTTTTGGAGGGTGTTTTTATGAGAAGGAAAGTCGTATATGCTACTATGTTAAATTGGTAAAAAGCCAAACTGATAAATTTCCAATAGTATAAAGAAGAAAGCAACATGACTACTACTACCAATATTTTTTTTTTTTTATCACAGTCAATTTTTAATGTATAGAGGCGGTAGTTACTCTACATGGACGTTCATGTCGGTTTTCTAGCACCGAATTTCACAGCCTCTTCTATAAATCAGGCAGTCCATCACAGCTGGAGAGCGATTACCATCGAGAAAGGTTGACAGAAATACAAAAAAACGGAATAAATTCTGTTGATATGAGAATGTAAAACATATAGGACGTCATTAAAGAAGTCGTTTATGCGACTAAAGAATACAATTTACTCGATTAATCGAGTTTTATATTTTATATATAATTTTTTTTTCTTTTTTTTTCCTTCTTTCCTTAAGTAATATGCAAATTCAGCTCTCTTCAATAAACTGCTTCATAGACATGAACATTCATCATACTACAAAATCTCGTTGCTTTACAAGTAAAACCATTGTTTTCTTATGTTTTCTATAATTAGTTTCACCGAATAGTTTAATTACAATTTAAGGCAAGACACTATTTGTCAATGTACACGCGTCAATCTGTCTGTTAGTACCCTCTATCATTATGCAATTCAAGTTAAGGAACTAGATCTTTCGTCTAACAAAATATTGTTCAAGTATAATTTTTTTTTTGTTTTTTTTTTTGCTTTTCCAATTTGCATAATAGTGGGTGATGCACCAGTCACAAAATTATAAAAACAATTTTAAAAAGTAAAAAGATTTTTTTTAAAGAGCATGCACCACTATACACGAGACGTCTATCTTTCAAAGTAAACCATTCTCTATACACAAACACACGCTACTTATTGGGCTTGGTCTCATGTAGAGGGTTCACATTGTCAAAAAAAAACCAAAAAAACAAAATAGCAGACAGCCCATCATACGAGTTTTACAGAATTGGACTGCGCAGACATTGTCAATGAACACGGTAATCTACTTTCTGTGCTGTTTCTTCGACCATTATCGGGTATAGCGTACCGTAACTTTTCCCAAAATCTCTTATCGCCCCAATGGACTATAAGAGAAGATCTGAGGCATAATCTAGCATCTGGATCTAGTTCCTTGAATGAAATCTTATCCAATAGCACAACAACTAATCGGTGACGTTTGTTGCACTGTGATTCGTGATATGCAGTCTTCAACTCGAAGCGACCCCATTCGTTCTTCAAGAACTGCTCTGATACCACTGCTATAGTCCGGTGACTGCACTCGACGGCTTCAGAAATAGCCTCTGCAACGTAACCCACCATAGGCAAATCTCTATATCTGAGGCATAGCCTATAAGGCTGATGACCACACTCGAGCTCCGGTGCCAAAATCTGTGCCACGAAAGCCTCATCCTTCTTACAATAAGACACGAAAGCATCGAACAATTTCTCACTATCGGGTGAGTAATGACTTCTTTGGAAGAGGCGAACACCGTAACGGCTGTAGATCCATATCTTCATCTCTCGACGATACACACACGCTAAAATCAAAAGTAGAAGGACGAGAATGAATAGCGTGGGTACTACTATCATTATTGGCATATAGTTCCTGGAAAAGACAGTTTGATAATAAGTTATGGCAGTATAATTAGAGCAAGATGAGGCATTAAACTCTAAGATGAATAAGCCACCAGTTTGGTTCTGATAACACCGAATATTTTCACTATCTTTCACATAAACGCCAAAAACTTGTAACCATTCCTGAAAATTCTCCAAATATTCGCACCTACACGACCATACATTGTGACTAAGACGGACGTTTGAGAGTCGCCGGTTATAATTAAAGTTCCAAACTTGAAATTCCACCATGAAATTATGATCCATGTGTAATATCTCCAAAGATTTTAAGGTTAGAAATGTGAAGTTACTTATGTGCTTCAGTTGATTGTTGGAAAGATAAAGTTCGCGTAAATGGGTGAGGTTTTCGAACTCGTAACCCTGCAGCTCCTTTATCTTATTATTTTCTAGATGGAGGATCTGCAGAGCTTGCAAACCGTTAAAGGTTCTCTGATTTATCTCTTGGATGTTGCTGTTGTTAAGGTAAAGTACCTTCATATTTTTGCGACCAATGAAACTGTGACTGGAAAGGTGCGGCATCTCGTTACCATCCAGATAGAGTTCCGTGGCGTCCATAGGCACCCTGCCTGGTATGGAAGAGTGACCACGTCCGCTACAGTCAACTATGTTGGTATTCCACGTCTGGTCGGAGTAACAGGTGCAGTTCTCCGGACACACCATCTCACAGTCACATGCGTCGAAGTCGCAACAATGACACAACGCAAAGCAATGGCTCCTGTATTTGCACAAGAAATCCGAAGAGTTAACATCAGAAAGCAGGACAGAGGGAGCACGACGCGAAAATGGCAACTGGCACACAACTTCGTGAAGATCAGCAATCTTTGGGTATTGTCGAGTCTCGTCTAGGTTATTGATCCTTTGCATCCATTCCATAGTACAATCGCAGAAGAAGGGATTACCAGATATTAAAAACTCTGGAAGATGCTTGTTTGGAGTAATGGGTTTCAGCCTGAATGCATTAATATCTAAACTTTGAAGATAATTATTAGTTAGATTGACAGAAGAAAGGTTGCTCTTAGCCATGAAAGTAAAGGAATTAATCATTTTAATCCTGTTATTATTCAGGCGGATTTTTTCGATCTTGTTAGGAAAAGTTGCTGCGTTGATTTCACGGATGAAATTAAAAGATGCATCTAGGAAAAGCAGATGGAGAACAGATTCTAGTTCGAAGTAATTACCAAGAGTTTCAATCTCGTTATGGTGAAGATCCAAAATTTCTAGTTCGGTTGGAATGAGAGCGTAATCGAACCATGTGATACGATTTCTAGAGACGTTGAGATGTTGGAGAAAATGCAAATTCATAAACAGTCCATTAATATCCATAAGATAATTGTCGTTAAGGATAATTGTATGAAGATCAGGAGCATCGTCAAATACTCCATGCTCCAGGGCCTGAATTTTATTATGTGATAAATCCAAATATTTCAGTGCTGGTACATCTCTGAAGGTACCACGACTTAAATTACCAACTTCGTTCCTAGATAAATATAAATTTAACAAATGTTTCATACCTTTCAGGGTATTATTAGTCACTTCTTTGATGCTGTTACCGGATAAATAAAGTGTGCGTAGGAATTGCAAAGACCAGATGGATGATGGAAAACTTGAGAATTTGTTTCCTCCTAACATTAAGTCCTGTACGCTGCTACAGTTTCTGAAAGCATCGGGATGTATGTGCTCGAGTTTATTATCATTCAAACCCAAGTAGCTTAACACATATAAGCCATTGAGTGTGAAGACATCGAGATTCCTTAAGTGGTTCCCTGTCAGTATCAATGTATGCAAGTTATAAAGAGAAGAGAATGCATTATCAGCGATAGTTTCAATTTCGTTGTAGCTCAGATAAAGAATCTGTAAACTATGCTGAGATTGAAATGTGGTGAAGTCAACGTGTCTGAGATGATTATGGCTGAGATCAAGGACTACTAAGCGTATTAAATCTGAGAGCACTTCAGACGTGATTCCCAAGCTGGTTATATCATTCCTGCTGAGGTTCAAAACTAAGAGTTGCTGAAGACCACTGAACAGACCAACACTAAGCGTTGAGATCGAGTTATTCTGCAAATGTATCTCCCTAAGATCGGGTGTATGCTTGAATATCTGCGTAGGTATAATTTTAATGTAATTATTAGAAAGATACAACAGTTGCAGCTTTCCTAAACCTTCTAAGGCCGAATTGGTTAGATCAGTTATCATATTATTCCTCAAATCCAACTGTTGTAGATTTTTCAAAGAAGAAAAGCTTCCCCCATTCAGGCTTTTAAAATTGTTACCCGATAAATCTAATTGGAGTAATTCAGGAAGGCATTGATTATCAGGATTTATGACGAAATCCAATCTGTTAGGGTCCATTAATGAATTTTGGCTCATGTTAAGCATTTTAAGGGAATGTAGCTCACAAAAGACGTGACTTGGAAGATCCATAATGTTATTGAAGCTTAAATCAACGTATTCTAAGTGTTTCAATTGATGCAACACGCGTTGTGCAAGACGAAGTGAAATCGAACCCCATTCTTTATTATGGGTGCGGATTGTAAGATGGCGTAGGTCGTTTAAACCGTGGAAAACTCCATTTGGAAGCACTGATAACTTGCAATATTCTATATGAAGATTTTTAAGATGTTTAAGATGAGATAAAGATCCGTTCTGAAGATGACTTTCGAACAAAACATCATCGCACAGTATCCGTAGTGAAGTGGTGTGATCTGATTGTATAAGAGTGAAGTTGGTGCTTCGACCATTGGAGCTGATGGCATCTACGCGACATATTAAGGACACATCCTGACCAGCAGGACTCCATTGACAGTCCTCCGGAGCCGTGTAGTGCAAGGCAGTACATGTCGTGATGAGGAACAGAAAATGAGAAAGAATTCTTGACATTTGTTCAGGATAATGATACGTTTCTTGTGAAAAGCACGACTTTTGCCGTATTGCTATCCTGAATACTGTGATTTCCTTTGGCCATTCAAAAATGTACTCGTTACTTCTTCCACGATTAAAAATTCGTGTCCTTTTCCAATCTTTATAATTTTGAAAGAAAAGAAATGCATAGATAATCCTTCACTTGGGTTTTATATATATAGTATATATATATATATTTTTTTTATTTTAAAACTCAATTTTCTTTTAAATTTCCAACAATTTTTCTTGTAATTTATGCATATTTCTTCTCTTCTTCCTCTTCTTTAAAAATATATTCCCCTAAAAAGAAAAATAAGAAAAATAAATCTACTATATAATTATCCAAGTATTTTGCATTTAAAAAACAGCATTCACTTTTTAAATTACATGATTAAAACTTAATTTATGAAGCCGAAAACCTACCATTTAAGCCATTAAATTATAAGGAAATTGTATAATTTTTGAAGAATAACCCATCAAGTTACGTGTAGTTGCCCTTAACCCCCTCTCCTGAATTCTCATTACTACACTATCCAACATTCCCACTACACAAAATAAAGTAATAATAAAAAAAATTCTCCATGCTCATCTACTCATCTATACGCTTCGTTACACCTACAGCAGAAATGGAAGCCAATATATTCGCAAACCATTTATCATGTATACGATTTCGTGAGTGCAATCCCTTAAAAAAACCTTATAACCTTTCCTACGTATCGCTTCCGGGGTCATAGGTTATAATCAAAACGAGTTATTCTGTCCTTTGCCATCTCTAACTATGGTTACAAGGTTAGACAACAATGTCCAACAGCCTGATAACTAGGTATAGTAGGAATGTGAAAATTATAGACATTTTCAAGTAGAAACACTCGATTTGATACAGGAAATATGTATGAATGTATAGGTGTATACATGTATAGATAGAGAGAAAGGGAGAGAGAGAGAGAGGAAGAAAGGGGGATGCAGGAGCTTTTCATCAGTTCATTCTTGGTAATGATGAGAACCCTTCCTGATGATATATGATCTATAACATGGATTTAAAATCATTTTCTCATTTAGATTTAAAATATTGATTTTCTCATCTAGAATGTAACAATATCGATTTATTGGAAAACATATTTCGTTACTTGTCAATGTGGAACGAGTGTTATTTTTGGTAATTACAGACCAAAGTTGTAACGAGGATTTGAATAGAGAAAAGAGAGGTAGTCGATGAAAATTAAATATACATATTTATTTTATTTTTTTATACATAAAAGTTAGAGTTTTATGCTTATTATACACGTTAAGAGCTGCTAGATTTATATACAGGAGAGAATTAACTCTTAATACAATGCTATGTTAGATTGATATCTCTTGTTACGTACCACCTGTAAGTTTACTCCTTCAAATATAAGAAGTTCTAGAGCTGATAGAAGAGATAGAAGACGATTCATCCCTTCTATCAGTTATAAATCTTTTCTGATAGAAGGGATAAATTGCTCAGGGATGTATCTATGCTCTCAACAGAAGCTTTCGTCTAGCAATATTAATGAGTTATATATATTCTTGAGTACTTTTTCTATAATTTTATAGATTAAATTAACTTCTAAACATAAGAAAAGTTTATAAAAAAAAAGAATGTTTAGTAGGAAAAAAAATACACGCAAGGTTACAAGGATAAAGTAAGCCTGAGAAGATAAAATGCTAATCCAAAGGCATAAAATGCAGGTGTGGAATTCTAGAAAGTGATGACTGAGATATTTTATTTGAATTATAATTACATACTGAATGCAAGATGAATGTTAAGAGGAGAGAAAAGAGAGATAAACTTTGTCTAAACAAACAAAATTCCATAAATACACTTACATGAAAAATGATACGTTGTTTAAATGTATATAAAGATAAATTATCTTTTTATACCGTGTACACTTTATGCGAATGAATAACAACAATAATAAAATATATTCTAGATTTAGAATATTAAAAAAAAATGCATCTTAAGATGCTTATATATAAATAAATTATTTTTCCATTAATTCTTAGTGGTGAAGTCAACGTGTTTGAGATGATTATGGCTGAGGTCAAGGACTACTAAGCGTATTAAATCTGAGAGCACTTCAGACGTGATTCCCAAGCTGGTTATATCATTCCTGCTGAGGTTCAAAACTAAGAGTTGCTGAAGACCACTGAACAGACCAACACTAAGCGTTGAGATCGAGTTATTCTGCAAATGTATCTCCCTAAGATCGGGTGTATGCTTGAATATCTGCGTAGGTATAATTTTAATGTAATTATTAGAAAGATACAACAGTTGCAGCTTTCCTAAACCTTCTAAGGCCGAATTGGTTAGATCAGTTATCATATTATTCCTCAAATCCAACTGTTGTAGATTTTTCAAAGAAGAAAAGCTTCCCCCATTCAGGCTTTTAAAATTGTTACCCGATAAATCTAATTGGAGTAATTCAGGAAGGCATTGATTATCAGGATTTATGACGAAATCCAATCTGTTAGGGTCCATTAATGAATTTTGGCTCATGTTAAGCATTTTAAGGGAATGTAGCTCACAAAAGACGTGACTTGGAAGATCCATAATGTTATTGAAGCTTAAATCAACGTATTCTAAGTGTTTCAATTGATGCAACACGCGTTGTGCAAGACGAAGTGAAATCGAACCCCATTCTTTATTATGGGTGCGGATTGTAAGATGGCGTAGGTCGTTTAAACCGTGGAAAACTCCATTTGGAAGCACTGATAACTTGCAATATTCTATATGAAGATTTTTAAGATGTTTAAGATGAGATAAAGATCCGTTCTGAAGATGACTTTCGAACAAAACATCATCGCACAGTATCCGTAGTGAAGTGGTGTGATCTGATTGTATAAGAGTGAAGTTGGTGCTTCGACCATTGGAGCTGATGGCATCTACGCGACATATTAAGGACACATCCTGACCAGCAGGACTCCATTGACAGTCCTCCGGAGCCGTGTAGTGCAAGGCAGTACATGTCGTGATGAGGAACAGAAAATGAGAAAGAATTCTTGACATTTGTTCAGGATAATGATACGTTTCTTGTGAAAAGCACGACTTTTGCCGTATTGCTATCCTGAATACTGTGATTTCCTTTGGCCATTCAAAAATGTACTCGTTACTTCTTCCACGATTAAAAATTCGTGTCCTTTTCCAATCTTTATAATTTTGAAAGAAAAGAAATGCATAGATAATCCTTCACTTGGGTTTTATATATATAGTATATATATATATATTTTTTTTATTTTAAAACTCAATTTTCTTTTAAATTTCCAACAATTTTTCTTGTAATTTATGCATATTTCTTCTCTTCTTCCTCTTCTTTAAAAATATATTCCCCTAAAAAGAAAAATAAGAAAAATAAATCTACTATATAATTATCCAAGTATTTTGCATTTAAAAAACAGCATTCACTTTTTAAATTACATGATTAAAACTTAATTTATGAAGCCGAAAACCTACCATTTAAGCCATTAAATTATAAGGAAATTGTATAATTTTTGAAGAATAACCCATCAAGTTACGTGTAGTTGCCCTTAACCCCCTCTCCTGAATTCTCATTACTACACTATCCAACATTCCCACTACACAAAATAAAGTAATAATAAAAAAAATTCTCCATGCTCATCTACTCATCTATACGCTTCGTTACACCTACAGCAGAAATGGAAGCCAATATATTCGCAAACCATTTATCATGTATACGATTTCGTGAGTGCAATCCCTTAAAAAAACCTTATAACCTTTCCTACGTATCGCTTCCGGGGTCATAGGTTATAATCAAAACGAGTTATTCTGTCCTTTGCCATCTCTAACTATGGTTACAAGGTTAGACAACAATGTCCAACAGCCTGATAACTAGGTATAGTAGGAATGTGAAAATTATAGACATTTTCAAGTAGAAACACTCGATTTGATACAGGAAATATGTATGAATGTATAGGTGTATACATGTATAGATAGAGAGAAAGGGAGAGAGAGAGAGAGGAAGAAAGGGGGATGCAGGAGCTTTTCATCAGTTCATTCTTGGTAATGATGAGAACCCTTCCTGATGATATATGATCTATAACATGGATTTAAAATCATTTTCTCATTTAGATTTAAAATATTGATTTTCTCATCTAGAATGTAACAATATCGATTTATTGGAAAACATATTTCGTTACTTGTCAATGTGGAACGAGTGTTATTTTTGGTAATTACAGACCAAAGTTGTAACGAGGATTTGAATAGAGAAAAGAGAGGTAGTCGATGAAAATTAAATATACATATTTATTTTATTTTTTTATACATAAAAGTTAGAGTTTTATGCTTATTATACACGTTAAGAGCTGCTAGATTTATATACAGGAGAGAATTAACTCTTAATACAATGCTATGTTAGATTGATATCTCTTGTTACGTACCACCTGTAAGTTTACTCCTTCAAATATAAGAAGTTCTAGAGCTGATAGAAGAGATAGAAGACGATTCATCCCTTCTATCAGTTATAAATCTTTTCTGATAGAAGGGATAAATTGCTCAGGGATGTATCTATGCTCTCAACAGAAGCTTTCGTCTAGCAATATTAATGAGTTATATATATTCTTGAGTACTTTTTCTATAATTTTATAGATTAAATTAACTTCTAAACATAAGAAAAGTTTATAAAAAAAAAGAATGTTTAGTAGGAAAAAAAATACACGCAAGGTTACAAGGATAAAGTAAGCCTGAGAAGATAAAATGCTAATCCAAAGGCATAAAATGCAGGTGTGGAATTCTAGAAAGTGATGACTGAGATATTTTATTTGAATTATAATTACATACTGAATGCAAGATGAATGTTAAGAGGAGAGAAAAGAGAGATAAACTTTGTCTAAACAAACAAAATTCCATAAATACACTTACATGAAAAATGATACGTTGTTTAAATGTATATAAAGATAAATTATCTTTTTATACCGTGTACACTTTATGCGAATGAATAACAACAATAATAAAATATATTCTAGATTTAGAATATTAAAAAAAAATGCATCTTAAGATGCTTATATATAAATAAATTATTTTTCCATTAATTCTTAGAAGAATATTATTTAATTTTATTTATATATATATATATTTGTTT